TTGCTATGGTTGTGGAGTATCCTGGTGATTAGAATACCAGGGTCAACAAAGGGAGGAAATTGCAGGTGACCTGAATTTTTACTATTTCTTTCTAGGTTTAGTGTTCCTCCTTTTCATCTCTTTCATTAAACCCTCTTTTATTATCAGGAGATCAAATTCAATTTTTTAGAAATTTGTTTAATTTTTAAAGCATTACAGGGCTGGAAGATGCTTCTAGAGTCCAGATCTTCCTTTTTCATTCCAAGGAAGGATTAACTCTACCTAAAGCTTTCCTGATAGTTGTGAGCTGCTTTCAGTGGTTGAGACTCCCAGCGGTTGTTGAGGCATCACATATATATAGTGATAGATTTCTCCTACTAGCGAAGTTTCATGTTGGTGATTTACATCTGCTGCTGCTTGTCCTTTTCCTCATAAGCACAGGGAAAATTGTCCCTTTTTCTCTTTGCATCAGCCCTTTCTCTGTTGAAAGTCTGTTATCATTAGTTCCTCATAAGATGCTGTCTGCAGTATACCAATCTTAATCAGGTAAATTGAAAACATTAGAGCCTCCTGGGTACCTGTTCTTATGCCAGAATTGACTTCAGAACTGATGGTATGTGGCCTTATTTATGCATGCATTTATTTTAATCCTGCTTAAACTCATCACGCTTACAAGTCTTTGTTCACTCTCTTGCCTGTTTGATCCCAATCCAAATGTTTATGCCCATACTTCACTTTGTCAACTCCTTAAAGCAAGACTCTGTTATCCTTAATGTCTGCAAAGCTCCGGAGTGACTCTTTGTGAATATTCTGCTGTGCCTGGGTTAGAAAGACACAGGGATGCCCTCAGTTCTTGCCTGTCAAGTTCTGTGCGCCGCGTGGGGGGTCATACCAACGCACCTCTGCCGTGAGGATCTGAAGTAGCAGAAACAGAACTGGATTATATTAATCTTATTGTTATGGTTTCTCAACAAGAAAGTAGCTAATCACTGTGGTTCAGCCAGACTGCAGAAAGGGGTTGTTGCATTTTAAAGCTGTGAATGATCGTGTGATTGCCTTGTAACTCAGGCTAGAGGTTTAGCCTCTGCTTACTTCATCTAGCCCATTTTCTGTAATTTACGCGAGAATCTACTGAAATTATAGTTTAGCTTTATTCTGCTTTTATGCTCACCCCTTCTGTACTTTTGTGTCATTTTTGTGAATTTGAGCTAACAAAAGTGCTCGTGAATTAGTACCCCCTCATTTGCAAATGAGGAAGCAAAGGCATGTGAAATTACTTTAAGTAATTGTAGTTCGTATGTGGCAGATCTGAGACCGTATAGTAGATTTTTGATTCCCCCTATTGTAAGCTTTAAGTGCTAAGAAACACTTGCAGTCTGATGAGGAGGGAAACTTCCCTGAATTAATCCAAGCTGCTTCTGTTGCTTATGTACTGACACCCTTTGTCTTTGCTGATTGGCTCTATCTCATTTTTCCCCCCAAAATAACATGCAGATGCAGTTTTTCTTTTTGGATTTTAACTCTTCAACCTATGGTCTTAAATCTCCAAAGATATTTGGGTTTCAAGCTCATTTGATTTCATGAGGTGACTTAATACTTTCCCCTTTGGGCTTCTGTTGCCAGACTGTTTTCACGATGTGATGTGAATTGTTTATATAATTGAACATAATCCCTTTTTTTTTTCTTCACTAAATAACTGTGGCTGAAAGGTGCTCTGAGAGTACGATGTCTTAGAGATTCAATCCAGATCCTGCAGGAATCAAGGGAACCAGGATTTCTCTCTATAAGTTTAGTGTACTAACTTAATGATTAAATCAGCATTGTGTGTCTCAAATGAAGAAAGCAGGCAGAAAAAAAAAAAACAAAACAAAACAAAACGGTGGTACTTAGAGTGCTTTATGTGCTTCGAATTATTTTCCATACATTTAACTAATTACATCAACAGATGATATTTACAGGGAAGTGCTGCCTATGATTGACCTTCATCTTTTCCCGTGCACTTCCCAGTCTCTCCTTGAATTTTCCTATTGTTTCCTCGTAACCATTACACATTTAACACCATGTTTCAAGCAGTCCTTTTCTCTTGCTTGGGACCATCCTACCAATTCCCTGCAGGCCTGTGTTCCCAACTCCTTTTAACTTCATCTTCTCCGCCTGATTTTCATGGCAACTTTGGAACTCATGGTGTGGACCAGCACACCTCCTCCAAAGCCCAGTCTTCAAGCTTCCCAATACTTACAGCACGACTGCTCTTTTCCTTTTATGTGATCATCAGTTCTTTGGAGCAGGAGTGTGTTTTTTTGTCTTTTGTCTTGTGTAATGAATTGCTTTTCAGAAGCTGCTGCAACACAGTACACATTTAAGTATACCTTATTTTTCTTTGGAACTTTTATCTGCGTGTGTTGGGGCAAGCAGGGGAGGAGTTGCATAAACTGTGAGTCTGCTGTCAAGAGGTTAGAGCAAACGCATGTTTAGAGTTCAGTGGTGTTCCCATGGCTACTAGGACAGGTACATCACGGGAGGGGGAACACTTCTGACATTTAACAGCCTTTCCAGGTGATTTATGGTTTCACATAAGCTTTTCCTAAACTGAGAGGTTTTCTAGTGTTGGCACCTCTTTGCTTGTCTCCATGCCCTGTTAGTTCTGTGTTCAGTGGCCCATGGTTATTAAAATTCTTATCAATAAAGGAGTTTCTGAGCAAGGTTCTTATTTTCTGGGATCACGCATACCTTCTGAACTCCTCAGCTTAACCAAAGGAACATTTTTTTTATGCCTAATGTATTTTATAAAAGAAATGTGTGGAGTTCACGTAATATTTGCCTTCAATTACAGTAATTAAGCTGTCAGGACTTGAAGTCACCAAAGGAATGAGAAAATCCTTTCCTGGTTGGCCAAGGTCTGGTCTCAAGTACGTTTTACATATGGGGGTGGGGAAGGAAACTGTTCTGGCTGGCATCTGCAGCAGAAAACCTGGGAGACTGTCGTTTTGCAATACAAGGTGTCAAAATCCTGCTGTGGGTAGAAGGAAAAGAGAGTGACCTGGTTAACTCTGCTTTAGCAGGGCATCTATTTTTGATCCTCACTAACGCTGCTTGCTTAGGTTGGCAGGTATATCTTATTAAAAAGAGCACGACTACAAACATAGCTCAGTCCATTTAATCTGCAGAGTCAAACTTCTACTGCAGCTCCCCTAGCAAACGTAACCTATCTGTATAGACATGTGTAGATACGTGCTTTTTTTTCCCCCATGTTCAACATCTCTTTGCAGACTTCCTTGCCAGAAGTCGAATAGTTTAAGTTACTTCAGAAACTTACCTGGAGGTACACTACAAGGTATTCCTGCAAGAAAAGTACCTAATTTTTATAAGTGCCCACACAAACATTACTGGAATCTCAAGTGTAGCGTTACTTTCGTTCCACTGGAATAGCTCTCTTGAAAGCAGATGTATGAGGAAATCGCTATTCGTAATGCATCACTAATGACACAAATTTTTGCATTCCTGCTCATGTGAGTAAAGGTTATGGATGCATAAGGAGCCAGACCTGCAAAACCTTATTCACAAACCTTAATAAACCCCATTTCAGCTAGCAAGTTTAATGATGCCCTGAAGAGAGCCAGATCACTTATCTACACCATCATGCAATAACTATAAAGTGTTGAGATAAGTGGTTTTATATCTCCCAGTTTGCTACTGGCCTTCACCCTGTGTTTTGTTTTATGCCAATAAAAGTGGGCGTGAAATATTACTGCTCTGATTTGGTTGCATTTTATAGTCACTCCAGCTCGCATACAGGATGCATGGGTAGAATGGATGCTCCTATCTGTCCCTGCATTTATGAATGGAAAAACAGTGAAGTTTCTCTGCCATATTTACCACATTTGACCGTAATAGCTGTGAATTACCTCCCGTGCGAGAAGCGTGTTGTAGGCCAGGTTTCGGTAAAGATTCTACACAATTCTGACCTGCTCAGCTTTTCCCATCGAGGGGGGCGTGCTTGGTTTTCTGCAGTTTGTACGAGGCTTTAAAAAAAAGCAATGGAAAATTTGGGACATTTCCAAAAGTCATTTGTGACTTTCGCGGAGCAAAAGGGTATGCCACAAAGTATCCATGTAAATGAATCTGAATTTCAGCTGCCTTTTTGGGTTGTTTATTTTTTAAGTCACAGGTAATTTAACAAGTTATGTATTTTCATCTTGTTGCATTTGTGGCTTTTTCAGTCAGTTCTCTTCATGCCATACATAACATCCAGCTCCGGACCTATACTTGTTTTTTGTTGTTATAAATTTGCTTTCTAGATACCAGACTCTTTTTATAGATGCTCACCTGCAGCTAGAGTTCAGCAGCTATTTATTTTGTGTACGCAGAAGCCTTGTAAGATCTAACCCGTGATGTTGTTTTTGCCATCTGATAACGGATGATCAAATGGAGCATGTTTAAATAACAACATCTAGGACACAATGACAGTAAACCAGCTATGAAACACCTTTCTAAAGATCAGATAAGATGGAAGAGATGCATCAATGCTGGATTGCTCCGTATATCAGAAGTTCTTGCACTTTGCTGTAGAGGCATTCCAGGCATGGGATTTCCTTTACGCTACAGGCTAATAGATTGTACCGTATTATTTCTCATGTTGCTTTATATCTTGTAGAGACATGTGCCTTTGCAAAGTGAGTGTAATACACTGAGTATGATGGTATTATACTTAATCTGCATGAGTTGCACAGTAGATAAACAGTAAGAATTTCAAAACAACAGGGAATTGTCTTGTTCTGTATTCTTTTGCTGCCTTCCGTACTGCCACCACTTCTCCCTGAGCATGCTCTATCTTTGGCATTAAGGGCTGCCTCTCGCTTCTGCCCAAGTCTATACTTTTAATTTTCAATTTATAATAATATCTTTTCAAGCCACCGTATTGTTTTTAAATATTTTTCTTACGGCTGTGCAAAAAAAAATCACATTACGTTTAAACCCGTCATTTCTGACTCTCACTCCTGCTCCTCTTTGTTCACCTGCAGGAGGATGTTACCGATCCTGAGCCTCGGGAAGAGAAGCAGGGGAACTGCTGGCTCTCTGAGCCTGCAGACGGTTACAATACAGTAAAGAGCGTTCTCACTGTCCAGGAATATTTCGCCAAGCGCATGGCAAAACTGAAGGGATCCCCAAATGAAACAGAAACAACGGTAGACAATTCCTGCCCAGCAGCCGATGAAGCTTTGGAGCCTTCAGAAGACCTGAAAACCAAAGTGAAAAAGAAAAAGAAACAGCAGAAGAGAGATGAGTCAGAGACTACAGAGCATTGTGAGAAACCAAAAGTGAAACAGCCTAAGATAAGTAGCTGTAATGGAAAGGAACTGGATGCTCCGTTAAGTGAATGCCACTCAGGGAAAAAGAAAAGGAAACATAAAGAGAAGCACAAAGGGGAAAGCATTATTTGTGATGAAAATAAAGGCAATGGAGAAACTTACACGGGAGTATCTGATGGGGAAGATCTCAGCCCTGAGGACTCTGAGGCGAAGCAAAAGAAACGCCGTAAGAAGAAACACAAAAAGCAAAAAGAGGAGACAGACGAGGGCATGGAAGGAGCTCGGAGGAAAAAAAGGAAGCATTGCAAGCACATCTAACCATGTAAGAGCCAAGCTGGGACTCCAAGGTGATTTGAACTTCAGCACATTAGAGAAGTCTGTGTAAACACACCAGCCAGACGTCGCATTGTAATCCAGTCTTCAGCACGCTGCTCTGCCTCCAACTGAAACCAGGGACGGTGTTTGAATAGAGCTCTTTCGGGGGAGAACATGGTGACAGGCCAACCGGGAGCGTCGGTGCCGTGTTCGCAGGGGATCCGTGTGCAGGGCCAAGGCTTGCAGGTCTGCGAAGCCAGACTTGATAAAATACAGTTGGGATTTGCTTCCTCCCAGTAGGGCAGGCGATTCACCTTTGTGGCTTTGCAGGAGCTGTGTTTTAACCTGGCAGAACCTGTGCTGCCTCCCGCCCAGACTCCCTGGTGCAACTCCATTCAAGTCAGATAACGGCAAGCAAAATCAAGCCTGGTTTTACCCACTGGGGTTAAGACTGTGAAAGGTAATGAATTACTATCAGCTGCTCCAGACTGACCGTGTTTTTCCTCAATCCAGGAAAAAAAAAAAAAAAAAAAAAAAAAAAATAAAAAATTCACCCTACTACTGCCTTTATTACTAAAGCCACTGTTGCTTTCACTGGTGGTAGCCCAGCTCTGCTTCCGGAAACAGGAGGGGTTTTGCAAAGCTGTATGTATTTTTTCATGGATTTTTGCAAAGTCGTGTCTAATTTTTACATTGATCTCCTTTTACATATGAAATGAATGTTATTTCTTCCCAAAATATGTATTCTAATTAAAGGTTTACGCTTGAGTGTCAGTACTAAAAAATGAAACAAAAATACCTCCCTTTGTTTCCTAGCCAATTGTTAACTATTGTCAAGCAATTGTAACTTTGAAACAAAGCTCAAGGAGCTGTGCTGTTATTAACCATATCTAAATCTTTGGTTCCCAGGCAACATTCAGGGTACTGTCAGTGATGCACCTGGCATTCAAAAAGTTGCCTTGGATAGAACAAGGGTTTTTTCTGAAATTAGGAGGCCACATAGATTTTAAAAGCATAGCAGGTCAGATGCATTAGTATTGCCACTTAAACACTGAAAACCTGCAATTTGGATTTATAACCGAATTAGAGCTGGTTTCTAATTGTAAACCTGGAAATATGGAATGCTGGAGCTCAGCACTACCCCATAAGCCATTCTGTATGAGATCTTAAACATTTCAGCATGAATTTTGACATGTTAATCTCACTCAGCTAAGAGGTGACAGAAGGGATGGGTGAGCTTGGAAGTGGTGAAATGGGAAGAAGCATCCACCATCCTGGAATCCGGTTCTGATACTGCTTTGGCCACAGCAGATTGCCAGCAGAACCCTGAAAGCCAACCAGCTCTCGTGGCATAATCCAGAGTAGCTGACCAGTATTCAAATCCACAAGCCGTTCCTTTGACTTTGGGCCTGGCTGTGTTTCATCGGTGTAAATCTAAAACATCCATTAGCCTGCTCTGCTGAATAAAGCAGGTACATTTTTTTTTTTATTGTCTTAGCCCAGTTGAGTTGCTTAACGTGGTTTGAAAAACATTGTCAAGATGCAGTTGTTAATATGAAAAAAATTTCCTTAAGCTGCCTTTATTGTCCGGTGGAAGAAACTTAGTCTGCAGCACACAGCCCACATGGCTTCAGATGTTTTAGTTGCTGCTGAACTCTTCCTTTTTAAGATCTCTTGGTTTTCAATGCACCTTTCTTGCTCTTGAGACACGCTCATTCACTGCAGCAAAATTATTGTAGCTTTACTTATTGTAAGGGAGAAGTAGATGCCTTTCTCCGTGTTTCACTGTTGGCGTGCCAGTAGTTTTTAACCCTTGTAGCATTTGCTTTTCAGTGCTATACAAATATTTGTTATTATGAAGCTACTGGGCCTGTTCCCTGGCTTCCTTAAATGAAATACCACTTAATACCATGAGCTTGCTAGAGTTGTAAGATCCATGCTTGAGGTAAAGAAAATAATCTTCCCACTGGGAGATGACAGCAAAATAATTTTTCACGTTACACTGTAGCATCCTGAGTTTTGTGGGTCCCCTGCAAAGCAGCCCTCTAATTTCTTGCTCACCACAAGTTTGGATTTTTGTTTGTTAGTGGAAGCCAAAAGCCTGCTTCCAATGTTTTGTGGTTTTTTGTTTTTGTTTTGGGTTTTTTTTTTGGTTTTTTTTTTTTTTTTTAACTCTTAAGCAGCTAAACTTTACAGTCTCTTTGGGATTTCAGTTTAAAAGGGTGCTAGTCAAGGAATAAGGTTTCCTTCTCCAAATACTGCTGGGCTTGTTTGTTTATTCTCTGTATTAATCTTCCATGAGTTTCTATGTGCTAATTCTTAGGAGTGGTTGGCCAGATTCCACCGTTAGTTATAGAAAGAATAAAACCAGGAATAAATGTTTAAATTTATGGTGTTACTACAGGTAAGTACAGTATACCTAAGATGTAAATCTGGCTCAGATTGAAGTATCAGCTACAAATAGAAGATTCTCTATTTGTACAAGAAGAAGTGGGAATTTCACTTTATCCCAGGAAATGTGGGATTTTAATGTGCCTCGAGCTCAACGAGAAATAGCATATGCAGAATGTGGGTTGGAGGGGGAAAAAAATCATCGTAGACTAATATTTGAAACAAGCAATTCATTTAGCTGCTCTGCTCTGTGTGTGTTAGTGGTCAGCCAACTTTGCATTACTCAACAAAAAGTTCTTCTTACCAGATACTGTCTGGTGAAACGGATGACTGAAACAACAGGAACGTGTTTCAAAGTAATAATTGTTTTGTTTTGTTTATAGAGGGTTGTGAGTCCAGTTTTAACCCATCTCTGGTTTGGCAAGAAAGTCTTTTTTTAGAAAGCATAAGAAGAAGAATTACATCATTACCCAAACGGTGAGAAATTAGCAGAATGTAAGCACAAAGAAATGACTTGGTTTCATTTCTGTGAAAATAAGACTTTTAAACAGCAAGGTCTTTTATTATAAAATTGTCCGTTGTATTCACACATTGCAGCACGCAATGATGTACCTCCAAGTGGAATTATCTAAAAACTAAGCAAAATGAGAGTCGCCACTCTGCTTTCACTTCCAAATCGGGAATGATGCACACACAGCATAGATACTAAAAGGTTTTCCGGTTTAGTAATCCCAGGCCACCAGTGACAGGGCAGAAAATTTTCCTTTTCACATTGGGATCCTTACGCAGAGGATGGTTTCTCGTGAGTTACTTCCATGCTCTGCAGGCGTAGCGGTGCTCTTCGCTTCGAGCCGCGAAATTCACTGTCGGTGTGAGGGCTGCTGCACGGCGAGCGACGTGCTTTGCAATTGCAGGTTTGTCAACACCAATACATAACGCTGGCTTTTGTGCTTGTAGATACCTGCAAGCACAAAACTGTATCCTGGAAGGGAGGGGCCATGGAAAAATAGTCTGTTACCGGCATCGGCTCGAAGTCTGCACGAGCTTTAGGGGTTCTGAGCTTGCTGTGTCCAACTCTCAGAGCCTTCCCTCGAAGGGAGAGCGCACTGGTACACGCCGGTGCGTGGCACATCATGAGCTTGAGTTTCCTCCCAAGACGTACTAGCTCTAGAGCTTCGCACACAACCAGCGTAAAGCAGTAGTGACAACCAGGGTTAATTTAAAGCATAGATGCTCGCTGCTGTTAGGTACAAGCTTCAAGACAACCCACTAAGCTTTCAGAAGCACCCATCCTCAATCTGTGTGAATTGCAGTCCCTTAGATGGTCTCTGAGATGCAGCTGCTTTGTGAAATTTAAGAAATGTGGGGACAGTTCGGCATCGTGTTCAATGAATGCAATTTCCCCTTAAGCAATAGGCAGTTCTGGTGCGGGCTTCTTTCAGAGAACCAGCCCTCGGCAACGAAAATTAGCTGAACGCACCAATGTAATTAACCAATTTTCTCCTGTTTAAACACACAAGGCTGAAGTTCTTGAAGCGCCCACCTTCAAAAGGCCCAATTTACGTCACGAAACCTCCAAACCTGCCAGCACTAAGAGGAGGAAGGAAGCTCCAAGAAGAGAGGAAAACCACACAAAGTCTATTGGAAACACTGCATAGCATCACGCCTATCTTAAAAAAAGATCTTAGAATAGCGTGTCCTCAAAGAGCGTGAGGGTTGCTAGAATCTGAAATAGTTTTTTTTGCTTAATTCCTGCTCATTCCTGGGCAGTATGAGGTTTGCCACGCGGAGGTTTATGAATCTCATCCACACAGCGTTAGAATTTGAGCTCAGAGAGGACTTGGACAATAACCAAGGCTCCGTACATATCCCGTGCAGGGATAAGCAAACTTTTAGTGATGTGGGACTGGTGAATATAGTAAAAATAAAAAAAATTCTGTGGTGGCAGAAGTGGGAAGATTGTTCCAATGCCGAATTGAAGCTTGATTTCGCAGCAAGTCAGAACATAAATTCTGCTTCTGAGTCACTCAAAGATACTTTTTTTTTCTTATCTTAATCCATTTTTGTAATTTTTAAAGAGTAAGAGCAAAATTCTGCTTGTCCTGTTTTAACCCACGGGGACTAAAATATATTTTTTTGGTAACCATTAAAGCTGCATTTTAAAAATAGCAAGAGCAAAAGTATTCAGCGCCATGAGTGTTTGTGCTGAAAATTTTAGCTTTTTTTTTTTTTTTTTTTTCTTTTTTTGTCTACATTTTTCGCTGCGGGCTGTATAATGGGAAAGCTCTGCTTTCTCCTCCTAGCAAATAAATGGTCCCAGTAGCGGTCCCTGGGGAAAGCTGGACCCGGGGAGGACAGGCGGTGGGGCAGGGTCGGTTCTTCTGTCTCAGTGGCAAAGCAGCTGAGGGCCAGGAACCCCCAGCTCTCTCTGCAAAAACTGCCCTTGGGAGATGAGAGTTTCATCGATAATTCAGGAATATGTGAATATTGAGCTAATTTAGGATTTGCACTTTTCTCACACGTTCGAATGTCTGAGGTGGGGGCGGGGGGGGAGGTAAGGTTACTTGGGGAAAATAGATCCTGCCGTTTTGCAAGCCGAGTGAAATGCCAGATGTCGGATCCACGATCCGAAAAGGGATATTTTTAAAGAGTGGGGATGGTCTCGCCTATATGGCGCGGGAGCTGGGTTCAGTCATGGATTTTCTGCGTGACCCATGGGAGTTGCTTGCCTCTGTTCCCCATCCGTGAAAATGGGGAGAACAAAGCTTTCTTCCACCCTTTGTCTGCTCGGTCTATTTTAGCTTGTAGCTTTTAGCTGTAATTTCCCTGCTCTCAAAGCCCTGTGAGAGCTCCACTTCTTCCTGTGCCCCAGATACAGGTAAGCGTCGCACCAGAATCGGGAAGGTAAGCATAAAAAGTAAAGATGAGGTTTTCCAGACTGCTGCTAATTACCCTGATACGGTCGCAATTAAAAGGTGGCATTTTCACATGGCCCCAGCTGTCTTTATGCAATGCAGAGCTTCCTACAGGACAGGTTTAACCAGCATTTTAGGCAGGGTGCAGAATGAAACCCATCTTACTAATGCAATCAGAATGCCAGGTGCTAAAGGGGGGGGGGGGGGGGGGGAACGAAAAAAAAAAAAAGTTTCTTATTATTATTGTTTCCACTCAAAATGTGATATGGGGGCCCCTGGGAAGGTGCTGTCTTCCAGCATGGGAGAAAATCCAAATGAGGAATATTTTAACGGTATTTCTTTGTCCTGCAACCGCACAGGAGGCCCAGCACGTGTCTCAGGAGGGTTTCTGAAAAACCACACGAGTTTTGCCCTGCGTTACCTCGGGGAAATCAAATGATGTTACCCCCACGATGCAGAGGGAATAGCGAGGACGGGGAAAACCCCGGTGAGTTGCTCCGAGAGCCCCCAGGCGTCTGCGGCAGAGGCAGGGGGTAGATGCGGGTCCTGGCCCTGCTCAGCACCTTATCCTGGCCCGGAGCTCACCTCCCGTCCTGCAAAACCGCCCCTGGGAAACGCAGTGCGGGACCGAGGCACAGCCGCCTGTCGTGTAAAAGGGCTCGAGTGGAATTCAGCGCTTCCTTTTCCCTCGAGGGGATATGTTGTACCACCGCTACTCACATGCTCTGGCCTCCGGGGCCTCGAGTATAGGGGGTGGTGTTTTTATAATAATGATAATATCCAGGCCCTGTGCATCCCGAGGGTTAAAAAGTGACACGGAGCGGTGGCAACACCATATTCAAAATCTTGCAACTTCAAGCAGTCTCTTTTTCAGTGCGTTTCAACCCCTACTAAAGGGAAATCAAGAAAAAAAAAAAAAAAAAAAAAAAAAAAGGTTTTTCTTCCCAACCTCTTGCTGCCAACCTCTGCAGCAACTCCCATCTGCAAAATGCACCCAGGAGACCTCTTCAGAGCAGGATGGAGGGTTTGGCATCCTCTCTCCCTGCCCCGACCTGGCACTTCAAGGCATGAGACGGGACTTTTGGAGAGAACCGGAGCCCGCTGTGCAAAGCCTGGGACGGCACGGGCTGTCCCCGGGAGCATGCACAGCTCCAAAACACAGATGAAAGGCAGTTGCTATGTGCTGGCCTGCATGTGTGTGTGGAAAGGGTTTATAAATCTGTCCTGAGACCAGGAAATCTCCTGCGCCTTCTAGATTTAAGAGAAGTTGCCTTCCTGTTGTATTCCCAGATAACGCAGCTCTGATCAAGCCCACTTGTAAATAGCTCAATAGATTTAATCAGTTCCTTTGGAAAATGTTGTTGCTTCCGCAGGGGTTTTCATTTGGTCCCGGGGAAAAGCTCAGAAAGGGCAGTTGTTGCTCCCGCTGCAAGCGAAGTTGGCAGCTTCCACCTCTCGGGACCCTCAAATCGCCAGAACCCAAGAGAAACCAAGAGCCACGGGGATCCCGCTCCTGTGCAAAGCAAAGCGGGGAGACCAGGAAAAAACCCAGGCGGATCCTGAACCCTGACGAGCTTACATTTACATACCGCTCTCTCCATCACTCGTAATCTGACAAGAGTCAATAGGAACACCCCAGGCACGTGGTAAATCGCTGCCTACCTGCACAAACACCCCGGCCTGGGATCCCCGCTGGGTTTTTTTTCCCCCCGGCCTGGGATCCCCGCTGGGTTTTTTTCCCCCCCCCCCCCACCCTGTTTGGGGGGTTTAGATGGGGCAGCGGGCGAGCAGCCCACCCAAGGAAAATGACCTTCCCATCTCGCCCGCCGGCTTTTCTGGCAGCGCCGAGAGGAAATCCACAATCAGTCACAGCGGAGCCGCTGCAGCCCTGCAGCCCATGTCAGGGGGTCAGAATCATAAAGGAATCGAGCGACTAAATATATTCCTCAGGACGGGTTGCAGGGATGAGCTGGGCAAGGGTGTCCGGCTGGGGATTTTTGGTCCCGTCGCCTTCCTGGAGATCCTTTGTCCTAGCAGGGGGAACACCTCCCTGGGGGGATCGCTTCCCTGCCTTCATGAGCCCCAAACTGGGGTTAGTGGGAAATATCGTTGCACGGTGGTGGTGCTTCCATCCCAGCCGGCCTGGGGTGGCTTTGCAGGATGGGGCAGCGCTCCATTAAAAAAAAAAAAAAAAAAAAAAAAAAAAAAGAAAAAGACCGCAAAGGATTGGACTGGTCCTTCATCTCCCAGGGATGGGCAGTGGGGAACTGGCCGGGGATGTTGCAGCCCCTCTGGGCTGTGCCCAGGCCCCCATCCCTGCTTGGGTGGCCACCAAAAAGCTCACTCAGGAGCCCAACCAGGGCTGAACAAGCACCCACCAGCAGGTTCACCGTGTCCCAGTTGCCCTCCCATATGAAGGGACCCGGGAATTTGGGGTAACTGGGTGAAAACCCGCATGGGGTGGAAAAACACAGCCTGGGTTAGCGGTTAAAGCAGGAGGTGGGGAGGGAAAGGGGGTGCAGCACCCCTGCAGCCCCCGTGCCTCGACTTCCCCTGGCCAACAGGCACGCTGAAGCTTGCCAAAGCCCCAGGAGAGGGCTCGGGGTGGGGGGCGTGGAGGGAGAGACACCTTTTACACCCTCACGGGGACCTTCCTTTTGGGCCCGTTTTCCTGTTCTCAGCGGACCACCCCAAAAAAAGATTTCAGTGCCCTCAGCTGCTCCCTCTGCATTTCCCCCAGCCTTAGGGGCTCTGAGGGGTGTGTGGGGGGGGGATTTGGGGGGGGGTGGTGAGGTGTCAGCTGGGGGTGTTGGAGGGTGGCAGGACCATTTCCAGCTCCCGCCTGGCTCCCTTTCAACCTTCCAGCGGGCAAAATATGAAAAAATTAATAATAAAAGGGGAAGGCGGGGGGGGGGGGGGGGGGCGGGAAGCAGAAGGAGGCGTTGGGGGGTGCTGCTCCCCCCTCCCCAAGGGGGTTGTTGGGCAGAGGGTGGGGAGAAGTTTGTTTTTTTTTTTCTCCCCCTGGCTGGGGCTGAGGAGTTTGCAAACAAGGAGGAGCAGCGAGTACCTTCGGTGTCATTGGAGGAGGTATTTTTTCTTTTTTTTTTTTTTTTTTTTTTTTTTTTTGCCAAGGAGCTCATAAATACGGGGGAAGGCCGGGCAGGAGGCTGGGACTGCGCGGGGACCCCGAGGGCAGCGCAGTGGGGTGCGGGGCCAGGGGCGGGCTGGGGGGGGGGGGGTTTGGGGGGCGGCGGAGGGGCCGGGCCGGGCCATGGCTGCGCTGCTCAGCACCTTCCCCTGGCCGGAGCGGCTGGAGGGGGGCACGGCCGAGGGGCTACCCCCGGGCCCCCCCCCGCGTTGTCCGCCGGGGGAAAAAAGCTCCGAGAGCCGAATCCGGCGGCCCATGAACGCTTTCATGGTGTGGGCGAAGGACGAGAGGAAACGTCTGGCCGTGCAAAACCCCGACCTGCACAACGCGGAGCTCAGCAAGATGCTGGGTGAGGAGGGGTGCGGGGTTTAGGGAAGGGGTGACACGGGGGGGGGGGGGACGGGGGGACGGGGGGACGGGGGGGAACGTCTGGGCATTCACGCTGTCATCTCCTGGAGTGCAAATTTTGCTCTGAGGATGGCACCGTGCGGGGTGTGCGCCCACCCGGGCATCCCATGGGGTGCAAACCCCTCTCCTGATCCAGGACCACGGGGGTGGGCACCCGTGTGCCCAGCCGGGCATCCCATGGGGTGCAAACCCCTCTCCGGCTCCAGGACCCCGGGGGTGGGCACCCGTGCGCCCAGCCGGGCATCTCATGGGGTGCAAACCCCTCTCCTGATCCAGGACCACGGGGGTGGGCACCCGTGCACGCATCGGTGGGGTGCAAAGTTTGCCCAAATGGGGACCACACGCCCTCCCTGGCACTCCGCGGGGTGCAAGCCCTGCCCGGGTCTCGCACCGGCACCCTGGGGGGTGTGTGTGCATCCTCCCATCCCCCCCATGGGATACAGACAGGTCGGGCACCCAGTGGGTGGGCACCCATGCAACCCCATGGCCACGCTGCGGGGTGAAAATCCTGCCTGGGGTCCAGCACCCTGGGGCAACATCCACCGGGCTGTTTTGTGAGGTGCAAAGCCTGTTGGGGTTCTGTACCCCAGGGAGCAGGCACCCGTGCACCCACCCCGGCACCCTCTGGGGTGCAAACCCCGGCCGTGCCCCACACTCTGGGTGCGTGCAGCCACCCGGCCACCTCCCGGGGTGCAAAGCCTGATGGCATCCTGCACCCCAGGGCGCAGACACCCATGTGCACACCCTGCCACCCCAAACCTGCTCATGCTGGGGATCCCTGGATGCTGTGCAAGGAGGGACCCCCCCACATTTTCCTGTCCTGTCCCCAGACTCATTAGCCCACCCCCATATTGCATGGCTGTTGGGGGGGGGGGGTGTTTTTGCTGTTTCTTTTTGGGGATCACAACCCATTTTGAATACGCACTTGTTTCCCACTCCCCACCTACGATTTTGCTCTTCTCCCAATCCCCATTTTTTATGTGAAACCAAAAGGGCAAACAGAAATAACCAGCCCAGACAGCCTGAGAAAGAGCTGCCTGAATTGCAACACAGCTTTGCTGTCCAGCCTCTTACCCAAAGTTTGTGTTTCCCCGGACAGTTTTGTGGTGTTTTCTTTGGTGGTTTGGGTTTTCTCCTTGCTGCTTTGCCATGCAGCATCCCAGCTTATTAGCTTTATTTCTGCTGTCTCTCTGGCAATGGGAAGGCATCAAACGCTTTGATCTGTATCCTCATTTCTCCCCCTACCCTGAGGAACAGCCTGGGGTAGCCCCACCGGGGGATACAGCCTCCCCCCCAGCCCCAGTGCTGCTTCTCTGTCCTGTGTCTCAGGGACATTTTATGTATCTCAAGCAGGGAGCAGCGAGGTTGTGGCACCCGGGTTTCTGTACACCCTGATGCAAGTCCTGGCAGGGCACGGGCTGAGACGCATCCAGGGATGCCACTTTCTGACCCCCAGCTCAGCCGGGCATGGCCTCAACCGGCCCCACTCCACAGCCGGGCTCTCCATCCCAGAGAGGCATTGCAAAATCAAACCCCGGAGCTGGGCGAGTTTATTTGCCCTGATTTATTTGCGGCGGGGCACAGCTAACCCTGAACCCACCCTGTTTGGAGATTTGGGATGGGAGGAGTTGGTGGACCTATGGTGGCTTCAATACCCCCATTTCTTCGCCCTCCTGCTGCCGTCTCACCCTCCTGCGGGGGCTCCAGGCTGCGTCCTCCTTGTGCGCCCAGTCGGATGTTGGGAGCCCCTACCTCCCCCTTGGGTTTTGTGCCGGCGAGCTTTGGGGGGCAGCCCCCCTTGCCCCCCCCCTCCCCGATACAGCCGTCGCGGGCGCTCAAGGGAGTTTTGTTCTCCGTTTCAGGCAAGTCCTGGAAGGCTCTGAGCCTCTCGCAGAAGCGTCCCTACGTGGAGGAGGCCGAGCGGCTGCGGGTGAAGCACATGCAAGATTACCCCAACTACAAATACCGGCCCCGGCGGAAGAAGCAGGTCAAGCGGATCTGCAAGCGGGTGGATCCCGGGTTTTTGCTGGGCAGCCTGACGCGGGACCAAAACGCGGTGCCGGAGAAGCGGACCTGCAGCCGGGCTGGGGGGGAGAAAGAGGGGCCGGGTGAGTACTCGCCTCGCCCGGGGCTGCCAACTGTCCGGGGCTACAGGGAGGCTCCGGGCAGTGGCAGCAGCACCAGCGTGGACACATACCCCTACGGGCTGCCCACCCCCCCGGAGATGTCTCCGCTGGACGCCATAGACCCTGAGCAGAGCTTCTTCTCCTCGCCCTGCCCCGATGAGCATCACCGCTCCCACCTCACCGGAGCCACCTACTCCCCGGAGTACGCGGGCAGCTCCCTCCCGTGCAACCACCACCCCCTCAGCCCCATGCCGCAGCCGGCCACCTGCATGATCCCCGCCGCCTCCAGCTGCCCTCCCCTTCCTCCTCCTCCTCCTCCTCCCAGCTACTATACACCCGCCTTCCCCTCCCTGCACCCCCCTAGCCTCCATGCCCACCTGGGCCAGCTCTCCCCACCGCCCGACCACCACGGCTTTGACACCTTGGACCAGCTGAGCCAAGCCGAACTCCTGGGGGAGATGGACCGCAACGAGTTCGACCAGTATCTCAACAACCCCGGCCACGGCGACCACCACGGCGGGGTCTTGGTCAACGGACACGTCCCGGCGTCCAGCAGCTCCCACGCCTCCGAGACAAGCCTCATCTCCGTCCTCGCCGATGCCACGGCCACTTACTACAATAACTACAGCGTCTCCTAGAACCCCGGCCGGGGCCGCCTGGACCGGCCGAGGAAGGACCCGACACAGTATTACGAGGCGTTGCCCCCCCTGGGGACATCGCTCACCGCCCCTCAGGGTGACCAAGTCCGAACCACGAGGGCCGTGGAGTCTCCTCGGTGGCGTAGGTAAAGGATTTCGATCGTTGGCTCAGCGCCGGTGCGAAGCCTCGGGCGTCCTGCTCCGAACGGGGCCGGGAGGGATTTCCCAATGGCAAAGCCCTTTGGCCAAGTCCCTCTTCCAAAGCAGAGATGCTGCTGGGAGCGTGGGAAGGCTGCCCTCCCCCCCTCCCCCCAATTCGGGGCGCCCCCAGCTCTGCTTTGGAGTCGGGAGGGCGGCAGCATCCCACAAATGGCAGATCTGAAGTCCCCGCAGGGGTAAAAAAAACCCTGGAAGGGGAAAAGGCAGGGATGGGGGTTGAAAAATGGAAGATTTTGGTAAAGGGGCACACCGTCTGCAAGCGTATTTTGCCCCGCTCTCAGGTCTTGGTGTCAGTGTTGCTGTGGCCACCCTGACCTGCCTGACCCCACCGCCACCAGCGGTGGTTAACCCCCCCCCCCCAGCCCCCCAAACCAGGAGTTGGGAGCTTCATCCCTCAGGACAACCAGAGGAGACAGACGAGGACACCAGGGATGCTGCCGGGCTGGCCCCAGGGATGCGCAGGGAGGGGGTTGGGTGGGGGGGCTGCAGGGGGGCACCCAGCCCCCGAGGGTGCTCAGCCTGTGCGTTCCGGAGGAGGGTAAGATCAGGGCTTGGAAAAGCAGGATCTGTGCCACCCCCTCCCCCCCCCCCAGCCCCATGGCTTCCCCTTGGCCTCCCAGCAAAAACACTCCCGAAGGGCTGGGAATGGGTCCTGGGATGAGGATTTTGGCAAAGAGGTGATGATGTAGCAGACACGTTTTTTTTTTTTTTTTTTATCAAGCGTCCTTTGAAGGCGAACACTTCACGTTTCGAGCCGCAGTGCCCAATGCCTCTTCTAACTCCGGCATATTATTGCTTGTAATAAAGCTGTACATTGATTTATTCCTTCCATTATTCCTCCCCTCGGATTTTGTATTGCTCGAGTTCTCTTCCTTTTCATAAAGATGAAGCTTTATTTTAAATCAGTTATATGACATGATTAATCTTAGTGTTTACTGTATGGCACTTGGTAATGATTAGTTAGTAGCATGGCTATGATTTTCTGGTTTCAATCCCAAACATGTATTAATAATAATTGCAAATAATACTTTAAAAAAAACCCCACAACTTCACAGGTTTTTAAGCTAATACATTCCATCTTTTTTGTGTGACTCTATGCATTTTGAATGAGTGTAGATATGAGTTTGCATAAAATATTTAATTTAAATAAATATGTTTTTATACGATGATTGTTTTATGATTTAAATTGCTGTAGCTATTGACAAAGTTTTCAAAACAGAAACATTTCCTGTGCGAGTGCTATTTTTTTATTTTTTTTTGTCGGTATTTTCGGCCAAACTTTTCTACTTCCATTTTTTTTAAATAAAAAAGATCTGTGGTTATCTTTACAAATTGTGCATTTCTTTCTAACACACCGACTCGAGGCACGACGTGTGCATACCTTCACTTTTCATGGTGTGTCTCAGGGGCAGCAAGTCACTTTGATGGCCTTGATCCTGCTTTTGCCATCTCATTCATACGGCCTTTGAACGCCAGGTCCTATGTAGATATTACAGAGAAATTAAGGCAGAGCTTTGCCTTTGGCGTGTTGGTGAGCACAAAGGATGTTGCCTATTTATGGAGTGAGTGCCAATGCCTGGAGCGTGGGTTTTATTCACATTTAAGGCTGTCTTTCACAGTTTGTGCTGATGCACCATTTAAGATGCTCCGCAGTGTGAGGACCACGTAAAGGATCCTCGGTGCAAATCCAGATCAAGGCAATGAGGCCTGAGAAATGCCATGTGGGTCAAATTTGGGGAGCTGCATCAAGGGTGCTCTTGTAGGTGGATGTTGAGTGGTGGCCATCAGGCAACTCGAGCAAAGAGAAAAGCTTAGTCCTTCTTGAGGTCTGTGGCCCATGATCACAGCTTTCTCTTGCCAGACATTAAATTAGGTTGTGTCCCTGTGGTCCTTCAGGTTAAGCCATGCACGTCTCCTAAAACAGTGTCCTCCCAGGCTGTGTCCTCCTGCTTGCCCCCAAAAAAGTGGCGGAGGGAGTTTCCTAATGCACTTTGTGATGCCCACCTATGTGTGTTGGCTGGAAGGGGTCTCCAGAGGTCACCCAACCCAACCCAACCCAACCCAACCCAACCCAACCCAACCCAAGCGGGCTGGCTTGTTTCCCATGAATGACTTATCTTGGACTCGGGGAGCCCACCATCCCAGAAGGTGGGGGGCTGTGTGAGTATTTGGGCAGGCACCACAATGCCGCTCTCCTGTGGTCACGGTCCTCCTTCATCCCCCCGACGCGTGGCCCCCCTGGAGACAGCCCTCCCGTCACACACACTGCCTCTTCCTTTGCCCGTCGCTCAGGCATCCCAGCCCTTGGCCACATGCAGCTGGTTTCCCTTTTAGGGGGAGCAAAATGGATACCTTTGGGTGTCCTGCTGGCACCAAGCTCTTGCCATGGGAGGTGCCATGAGCCTCTTTGCTTGGCCTCTCTGCCCAGCAGCGTTGACTCATGTGGGACCACACCAGGAGCAGGAGAAGGGCTGGAGGAGTCCTGCCCCTCCCGCCTCTTGCTCTGCCCACCATCCCTGTGGTGCCCCAGGCCTGAGGGATGCTCACAGCCCCCCAAGCAGCACATTCAAAATTATCGATAGGAAGGGTGACCTGGATGCATGCATCCAAACCTGGATTTACCTTTGAACCAAAGGGCTTCTCCCTTCCAAGGAGACTCTCATCAGAGGGGCACCCACGCCAGGGCGCTCTGCAAATGTCCCTTTCTGCCAGGTCTGCTGCAGGGACAGCTGAGAATGGTGTAATGAAGTTTTAAATTGCCATGGTGAGGAGGTGCAGGCAAGGTCAACTCCCGCTGTTGCCACCATCAAGCCCAATTTGGGCCGTTGCATTTATCCCCCTGATGGGACCCTCTCTCTGGGACTTGGGCTGCTCCTGCCTATCCCACTCCTTGTTCCCAGGCCCTGAGCACTGATGGGATCAACTGAAACACCCCGCGAGCCTCTTCTCCCCCTTCTCTCCTCACACAGAGTCACATTCAGGGTCGGCGGAGGCAAAGACCGTGCCAAGAGCTCCCGGCAGCGGTCGGAGCCCAGTTTCCCCCGGGAAAAGGGATTTCTCCGTGCATCCCAGCCCCGAGCAGCCCGCCAGTCCGGGATGCACAGAGCCTCCTGCGAGCCGAGCCTGTCCCCACTTGCTCAACCCGGAGCCACGTGAGGAGAGGTGGGAGCGTGTCCCCGTGCTCTCTGCACGTCAGGAACAGCTACAGGCCCCAACCGGGAGCCGGGGCCCCCCTGAGGGTTTTGGGAGCCGCAGCCAAGGCGAGGTGCGGCTCCCTGGGAGCCAGGGCTCGCCGGACGGATCCGGGCACACGCCCAGCGCCGGGAGCAGCCGCCTTCCACCTCCCAGGACACCAGCAGCTGAGATGAAGTTTGGGAGTGGAGCCATCCGCCCCTTCTCCGGCAGGATGAGAAAATGCAACGCGATGGGTTGCCCCCCCACCTCCACTCCACAGCATTTTTGGGGGATGCAGGTCATTGCTGCAGGGATCAGCCAGAAAATACGTGGCTGAGAGAGGTGGGAAGGAGCCTTTTTTGCTTGGAAAAACAGACGTTCCTGCAAAGGACTGATGGCCATGGTGGTTTAGGTACGTTGGGGGTGTCCCCACCCCAAGTGGGACTCGTTCTGCATCAGTCCTGGGCATGTTTCTCCTCCCTCCCCATCCCAAACCCGCAAGCCCAAGGCTGTCTCTGTGCACACCGAGGATCTTTGTGGTTTGTGAGCTGCTTTCTCCAGGCTGGGATGGGCTGGAAACCAGCAGGAAAATCAAATCAGGGCTGCAGGAATGGATAAGGTGACCTCATATCACATTTGGACTCCTGCTTAGGGGCGTCTGGTTGGGCCAGGGCAAGGGTGTGTCCTTGCCAGGAGGTGGCCAGGGTGTGACTCCTCTGCCCCTGGTGACCAGTGGCTCTGGCCAGCTCCTGGCCCCCGTGGCTGTGCTGGTCACGGTGCTGGGCACTGGGAGCGGGGATGAGGTCACCTTCCTGGATAGCGCTGGGATTCGGGCTGGCTGGGAGCTGTGGTGTGTGTCATGGCCTGGCTCTCCCAGGCTGGGTGATTTCCTCTGCATCCCTTCAGCAGGTGGTGGCTCCTCTCCGTCCTCACATCTGGGCAGGGGCAGACCCTGATTGCAAGCAGCCACGTGGCTGCGCCGTGCCTCAGTTTCCCTGTTTGTAAAACAGAGATAACGCTTCCCTCGCTCCCATCCTTTTTTCTGACCAGCTCTGTGACATGAGCTGTCTCTTACCGAGAGTTTGAACAGGACAAAGTGCTTGTGCTGCTTTTAGCACAAGGGGTCTCTACCCCATGCAAGGGCTCTGGATGCTGCTACTAAATTACATGGGCGATGATTTTTTTTCCCCCCTATATCACTCTCAAAGCAGAATCAGGGGAGGGAAGTAGAGGCAGAGAAGGGGAGACTTGGCCAAAGTCATCCTGAAAATCAGCGGCAGAGCCTAGGGGAGACCCTCACCACTGTCAACTCCCCAAAATCCCCTTTTGCCTGTCAACCCCTTTCTGCGTATGAGAAAACACCCTTCCCCTCCATCTCTTTTTGTCCCCACCCCTCCCCGATTCCGAACCCCGCGGGGAGCCACGCAAGGAGGACAGGTTCAGGCCCTCCCTCCCGTCCCTCCAGAGGAGGGAATGAGACAAGCTGCTGAGTGGTTTCCTGCCCGGCACTGCCAATGGGAGATGTTTGGGGTGCCGGGAGCAGGGGAGGATGTATCCGGAGCTGAGTGTTTCCTGGCAGATAAGGCCAGCCCCTCCTGACGGATGTTATGAGTCCAGGTCCTACCTCCACGTTTCAAGCGAAGGGGCCGAGGAAAGGCTTGGATGTTTATGTCAAGGAAAAATAACTTCTCCCTCTGTGTACAATCCTCCGGGTCCCCCAGGGCTACGTGTGGGAGGGTAAATGCTGGGAATGGGAAAACAGGGGTGAGGGGATGGAGGTGGGTGAAGGGAGAGAGGGTTTGGCCACAGGGCAGGAGGGCTGTGGGTTGGCTGGGGTCTCTCCCTCCCTGCTGGGGCTGGGGTGGGAGGGTGCCAAGGCAAAGGCAGAGGGGGGAGCTGAGGAGAAGAGCCCAGGGCTGGATAGTTCGGGCTTGACCCCGTGGGCTCAGGCTCAGCGTCAATCCAGAGTCACCCTGGGGACAACCCACTTGTCTGAAAGCAGCACTGTCACCTCTGGTGCCCACGGGGAGGAGATCCAGCCCCCAGGCAGGACTTGCTCCTAAGAGCCCCTTTAAGGTAGGAGCTAAGACCACCCACACCAGCCTCGGTGGCTAAAGGTCCAGGGTTGGCTCTTGCCCACTCTGTCATCCAGGGAGTCAGAGATGTTGAAAGAAGGAAGAGAGTGGAAGAGTTGGGTCCAACAGCCCAGCGGCACGCAGCTAGTCGGGGA